CGGGGGTCTTCTGGAGTCGACCGATGGCAATCAAAACTTGGTTGACGAAACCTCTAGCCTGTCCAGCGTTCTCCGGAGGGGATGGTAACACGAGATCCTTGAGATCCTTGACGCGAACAACGGACTCCTCATATGCGGCGTGATCTACGGCGGTCATGCCTACACTGGGATCGGCAGCTTGAGACGGGTCTGCATTGGGGAACTGGCCAGAGCCTCCCCCGCCTCCCCCACCACCATTCATGGTGAGGTATGGGCAATCCGTGTCTTCATGGCTACCGCCGCAAACTCGACATTGTGGGGCATCATCATCTCCATCGGAGTCTGATGATGAGTCGGAGCTAGCGGCCGATGGCGCTTGTGGGGATGACGAGTACAACCCTCCCAACATTGTGATTGGTACTGGCGGAACACGAGTGCCGTTGCCAGCTTTTGGCGGAGGCGGCGCCCCTGCGAGGGGCGTGGGAGGGTGGTGCGGCCGGAGGCGGAGGTGGCGGAGCCACTTGATTAGCAACCAATTGGGAAAGCTGCTGAACCATTTCCGCTAAAGCCGTCACTTGCACTCTCACATCGGCTTGATCCCTTGTACCGTCTCTACCCAACCCGCTAGTCCTCGACGCGCCGGGGGCTGCGTCTCCAACAGAGGACGCTGCTCCTAGCACTGCCGAATGGCCTGCGAGATGTTGACTTGTTGCACCCCCACCAGGGTCCCTTGAATCAGCTGGGGCATCGTGACCAAGTCCTGAACTTTGAACAGAACCACACGGAGGGTCGGGGATAGTACTTGTAAAAGCATTCCCTTGCGACGATGCGGCAACACCGGAGGCATCTTGTGAATCTGAAACCTGAGGTGCTCCAACCGGCTGATGGGTTCCTGGGGGAACTGTGCCCTGACTTGAGGCTTTAGCCGCGCTTGATTCCGTAGCTGTTTCGGCTATTGATGCGGCTTTTGGCGGGGACTCTTGAATCGGAACAGGGGTCGCACGAGCTTGTTGGGTGAGGTGTGCAACAACACGTTCGAGATCACCAAGTCGTTGATGCATCACAGAATTTTCCTGGGACAATCCACGAATGGTATGCTCTTGACTGGCAATGGTTTGTTCCCTTTGCGAGATTGCCTGTTGAGCCTCTTGAACAATGCGTTGAACCTCTTGCTGAGCGTCCTGTTGAGTGGCATTAACAACCTGTCGTGCGTTCTCGACATGGCCAATGGCTTCCTGTCGTGTCTGCTCGATTAGTTGCCTAGCCTGAGCCTCACTTTGTTGTGCTGTTTGTACAGCCTGCTGTGCTTGCGAAGCTAGCTGAGCGGCCTGAACCCTAACGTCTGACACTTCTCTTACAGCCCTTTCCCTGATCCATCCGGCCTCTTGTCTCGCCTGGTCGGCGGCCTGCTGTTGGTGCAAGGCGTGATTGGCTGCCTGAGCAGCGAGGTCGGATGCTCGATGAGCTTGCTGCACCGCAGCTCCAGCTATAAATGCCGCAGCGGGTACGTTAGTCATCGGGTCAGGTAATTGCGATCCCTGTGAAGGAAACTGAATGGCTGGGGAAGCTTCGGATGATGTAGGTTCTGACACGATCGGACCACTCGGGGGTGATGATGGTCGTGTTTGGGCTGCTCGTTGAGGTGTGGATGTGCGAGCTGTGGACATAGCTGCAGGAACCATGGCTAGGTCAGGGTCATCCGGTTCAGAATCCCTATTTGGGGTTGACCTTGAACGGGGTTCTGATGGCGGTGATAAGCCCGTTGAAGCCATGACACAGCGATGCAATTTTGCACTCACACGAAGCTAGCTCCACGCGCTTTGAGCAGCGTGTCAAAAGGTGCTACGAGGAGATATCCCTGGATTGGCAGCTGGTTGCGAAACGCTCAAGTGAGCCACTCAAGAAAATACGCCCTGCTGCTTTGCACCTGATGAATTCTGTATTTGTAATTGTACTTGTAGATTGATTGATCCGCACTGCCGCACTATGGTGCTTTATCGAGGGATGTTGCCAAGCTGTATTGAGAATTTGTCTGCAAATCGAATGCCTGTAGTTGCAAAGATGCTGTACCGTGCAAAGCGACGGTTTTAACGGCTTGCAAAGAAAGGCTATCGAAGTACCCGATTGGCGGGCAACTGGGATGCAGACCGATGGAGTTCCTCGAGGTACTGCGATGGATGCAGGCCCCTTGCCGCCGGAATGACAAATCGATTCCGGGACTCGATGTACTCCCCAAGGTTCTCAAGTGCGTTGGCAAATCCGCTCGGCCCGAAATGCGGCAAGTTGCGGAACGCTGCGATGCCTGTCTTTTGAGCTTCACGGACAATCGCAGCTGTATCGTCAATGAGGGCGTGGGCACCCAGCCCCTGAAGGGCGTCTGCTTTGCCTCCCCTACCCAACCTTTCGTGTACGATTTTTATCGCAGAGAAAGTGAGTCCAGATGTCGTCCGCGCGTGCTCCAGGGCGACCTGGAACTCGCGGCGGCGATACTCGCTTGCAGCCCTGCCCACGAAGGAAAGCACTATAAAATTTATAGGTGCGTAGTCGGCTGCAAATTGAACGAGATGCCGGATCACCTCCGGGTTGAGGTGGGGTCCCTGCTGCCCAACGTCAAGAACTCCGTGCCAGTCAAGAGCGATGGTAAGCTCCTTGGGCGGCACAGGCCTTCCAGGCGGCGGGGGTGGCGCAGGTGGTGGCCTTCTTGGTGGCGATCGAAAGCGTGTGCCAGCCTCGGAAGTTGCAGCGCTAGCAGCAGCTGCTTTAACGACCTGCGGCGGTGGCGGCTTGACGATGTACCCTTGTGGCGGGTTTGAGCCCGATTTGCTTCTGGGTTCGGCTTTGTTCAAACCTCGCGGAGGCGCCTTGTACCTGAATGCACTCTGAGTCCGAATAGGAGACCTTGCTCGCGGCGGGGATTTCCTCGGAATATCTGCTTTTGCCTGTGCCGAAGAAGCTGCACGAGGAAGTTCCTTGGGCAATGGAGGCTTGCTGCCAAAAATGACCTTTGGTGCGGCCTTTGGTGGCGGCGGTTCCAATCCTCCGGCTATGCAAAGCAATAGGCTCAGTGTGAGTCGGTGCCTCGTATACGCGCCGAGGCACGTAAGCTGACCTGCCAGTTCTGATGGATTCCGCGTCCTGCGGAGGTTCCTCCTCCGAGCTGTAGGCGTCGAGGCGATAGTGCTCCGCTGGCCCTGGGCGTCGATCTGTGGATGATCTTCTTGGGGGATCTCTCCACGTCTCGTCCGCAAGCGAATACGGGTCAGCCTGACGGAGATGTCCGGATGTCCGCTGTGCTCGGCGGTGAGATGTCGCCTCACGTGGCTGTGAAGCCTCCCGAACGAGTACCCAAGCGCCGTGCTCGTCAAATCGTGTCACAGGGTATATACTGTTCTGTGGAGCCAATACAATGGGCCGTGTGGCAAGGGAAGTCCTGCATGGCCTGCCCTCCCGCGCAAGCGCGGGTTCAACACTGTGTGCCCGATGTTCCACAGGGGTAGCAGCAGTCGGTCCTCGTCTCGGAGGCGATGGAGACCTCGACCTTCGGGGCGATGGGGACCTCGATCTTTGTGGCGACCGTTCCCTGCTGCTCTCCCGCCGCGTTTCCGCAGCTCTAGCGTACACCCCGCGAAGCGCTGTCTTGGCGGCGCCCCGCAACACTTGTCTTTCCTCTGCTGATGGTCGGATGCGAGGCAATGGAGTGCGCGAATCTTGTAGCCAGGATGAAGCTGAAGGAGGCGTCGGAGGGCGTAGCCAGTCCGCTGCACTGCTCGCTGCTTCCGCCGCGCCAGAGGCTGCGGCTTTATCCTGAGATTGCACACCTTGCGGCAAGACCACACCTGCGGTTTCAACCGATGCGAGACGCTGCTGATAAGCGTTGTCCGCGGCCTGGATCACTTCGAAGGCCTCTTGGTCAAAATCCCACAGGTGCCAATTATCCAATGACTCACGCCAGGAAAAGAGCGCCTCGATCTGTTGCTTCGAGGCGTCTGCAAACCTGACCCGCCGGAATCGCCTGTCCTGCCGTTTGTACTCGTCAACGACGATCTGTTGCAGAGTGTTGAATAGACGGGCACGCGGCCCCTTCCCACCGCGAGTGCCGCGGTGAGGGCCGGCTTCCATGTGCGACCAAGCGGTCGCAGTCACGGAGGGGTTTGTTTACCCGAAAAGCGATACGGCTGATAACCACTCAAAGGAGAGGGAAACACAGTTTTGTCAACAACGGGGGAACCCGGGACCTTAAAAGGAACGAACCCCTCCGTGACTGCGACCTCTCCCTTAATCTTGTGGGTAGCGCGAGCAACGCGCTCTTTTCAGCACTTGAGCCAAATGACATGCGGACATGTCATCTGGGTCCTTGTCATGTTTGTACATCATGCAACTTGTTGTACCTCTGGGCCATAAATGTCATCGTGATAATTGACTCTGTTGGCTGTCTTTTGCCTCACCTAAAAGCCAAGATGTTCAAGCCAATTAAGGAATCAATCGCATTGGCCACCTCGTCCCTTGTGTGGCATAGCTGTTGGACAAGTACCACATCTTGCAAATGGCCGTAACCAGCAAACTAGGTCCTTTGATCGCGTGTAAAGCTAAGACTTGCAAATGACTCTCTATACTAAGGCATAATCTCTACACGTATCTAACTTCGGAAGTCATATGCTGGCACCTGCCATTTCCTTCCATTCTCACGGCTGAAGGACATGCATGGCCATGGCTCTTGGTATGGAAGTCCTGGAAAGGGTTCGGCAATATTCTGACCACTAAAAAATGTTGAACCTTTCAAAGCATGTCCAGCACTCCTGGTTTCTTACTTTGTGTTCCCCCCCCGCCAGGCAAACAAAAAGCGACACAAAAGGTGGCCTGCCCCAATTTCACACACGGGCGTCTGCAAACATTTGGAACCCGTTTTGGCAAGGGCATGTTGCTTTCCGGGGGGCGGCCTGGCAAACCGGCCCTTTGCTTTGGGAAGTCTGTCCCCCACCGTCCGCCGTCCTGTCCACCTCTCCCACCTTTGGCCGAGCAGCACTTGGGGCAGTTCTTGGTGGTCTTGGCCAGGTGCCTCAACGTCAGGAGCTCGGACCGTGCCGCCGCAGCCTGGCCAATCCCGGGCAAACTCATGAGCCCCGCTGCCTTCAAGGGGCACATGTTGGCCGGGCCGGGGGGGGGGAGGAGGGGACCCGGGGAGGAAAGGGAAAGACAAAGAAGTGTCGAGGCCAACCAGGTCCCTGTGTGCATGATGTCAGCCACAGCGCTGACAGAGGTGGACTTAGGGGAGGCAAGGTCGCTAGAACTGTGGGCGGCTTTCACAAAGGGTCTGCGAGGGTGGGCTTGGCAGACCGACCTGTGAGAATTTTCTGACGTCTCTGCCTCTGACAGAACTTACCAAGCATTCCCTAGAAAACAAAGTGCAGCTCATACATGCCTTTCTTATCGTGTTTATGCCATCTGGAAGCAGCGGCCTACCTACAAGTACTGCACCTTAGGCAGAAGAGTGTTTGTGTGGAAATGAAATCCATCCTTTGACGGAGCCGTTGTCTTTGCCCCTCTGTGTTTCAACCACACGACCCGTTTGCCTGCAAAATTCCCCTCGCCTCACGGCCCTTGCCTGCCGCCCTGGCTTCCAAGGCTTCCATGCGGTCGTCTGCCGAGGTGCAGGTGGCGCCTGAGCCGAACAATGCGCCAAAACAAAACGAGCGCTCAGCACAACACCCTCTCCGCTTCAAAGTTGTTTGGAGGTCCTCCCTGTGGAGGCACTGAACCAAGCATTGAGAGGAGCCACCCCAGTGCTGGTCAGGCTGAGGTACCCACCTGGGTGATAGGCCTGGCTCATGAGCGCTGTGCCCGAACCCCTTCCCCCGCGGACAGTCACGGCCACATTAAGCGGCACAAACACAAACATACAAACATGAACCGTGATGGAACACAAAGGAACAGCTTCTCGCGAGCTAGGCAAGCTCGATCAAAAGCACTTGCCGCTTGTTTGACAAGCCCTTTGTTTCAAAACAACCTGCGGAACACGCATGCTCCGGGAATTCTCCATTGACTGACCTGTGCTTAGCCCTGCCTACAAGCATCTGAGAAAGGGCCCCCAATCAGCCCATAGGGCCCCGGCAGAGCGGCACTTGCCGCAGAAGGCAAAGCCACAGACCTCGCAGCAGGCCATGTGGTCTTCGTCCTCCAAACCAACCCTCACACACGCGGATATTCAGAGCCCGGTTGGTGGGGGCATGTGGGGGTGGCCTCTGCGTTGACATGGGAGCTCAACAAAAACGTGTTGTCCGTGCGGTTGCCCGAACCTGGCGACTTGCCGGCCTACCAAACCCCAAGACCATGCTGGTCCTGGATGCAGGGCACGCGGTTCCCACCACCCTCAAGGTCGCAGCGCGGGCAGTACACCACATCCTGGCGCCGAGCCCGGCCCGGGAGATCCATAGTAAATTTCAAACACATGCCTGACTCGCTCCGCCAGAAGTGGCTGAGAGTCCAACCCCCTGAAAATAGTTCAACTTCTTCCTTGCCTCTAGTCGAGTAATCCCCGAAACGTTTCACAGTTGGATTTGGGTTCTAACAACTAATCCACAGGTTGGTCAAACTTTATCGGGAAACATTTAGATGAACATCCTGCAGTGCTGGGCATGGTCCAAGCTAATGTTCTTCCAGCCGTGAGGATCGCGCACCTTTCTGCAGGAGGTCGGCTTCTGAGCTGCTTCTCCGTTATCCCTATTGAATTAGCCACATTTGGAATGCCACAACAGGGGGCCATCTAGCACTTCTATGCGATCATGCAATCTCTCTGGCCCACTGACTCCCAAATCAGACGCCGTGGCAGGTGTTGGACGCAATTAGAACTGCAGCCAGCGCACTGTTCGGGAGCCCACATTCAAGACAGAGTTGACAGTGATATCTGGGAATCAGCCAATCAGCTGCTAAAGCTTGCTTCAGCAGTTGACAGAACGCGCGGCTGGAACCACGAAAGATGCAACAGGCCAAGCCACGCTGAGGCCATCTGTTCGCAAAACATCCCTTCCCAGTGCCGCCGCGACTGCCAGAAGAGGACTTACAAAGGCTCAAGCCCCACTCTGCGTAAGTCTAGTTGGCATTTGTTTTCACTTTTATTGAACAAACACTCTTCAAAATACTGGCCTCGGATGAAGCGCTGCAAGAGACAGCCCTTGGGACAAGCATCAAGAACTGGCCGTGGTGCATGGACTTGGCTGTTCCACCTATGCAAGCCCATTCTTGCCAGCCGAAATCTAAACAATGTGCTTCACGCCAACTCCACCCAGCAAAACATCAAACAACTAGCACGCCCCCACAAGCAATGCCAGCCCCCCCGCCCCCGCCCCAAACCTTCAGGCGCTAACGTGACTCCCTTCTAGACATGTGACCCCTTTGCCCGACCTCCATGGTATCGATGCAGTGCTTCAAGCTGAGCTCCTCGTACTTCTGCAGCAGCTCCGAGTCAGAGCCTTGGGGTCCGCAACTTGCGGAGGCCAAACCCCGCCCATGCCACACACGCAAGCTTTTGTCGCCCCCTCCGGTTGTGAAGTCACAAGTTCACGCTCAACCTCAGAAGCCCTGCGCAAGCCGCAGCGACCCTTTTGGCACCCGTAGTGCCATCTATGCACGAGGCGCGTCTGGCTCAACTCGAGCATTTGCCCACTGCACCGTTTTCGGCAATGACACCTCTTGGTTCCAAATTCCCGTCCAGGGGGATGCCCAAGGCGTGGCTACCATGCAGGATTGCAGCCGTCTCAGCGACCGTACTTCTGGAATTCCCACTCCCCGTTGTCCAACGGACAGACCTGCCTCAGTGAGTGATGCTTTGCTTTGCACTCGCCATGCATCCCCAGCATTCCCACTACTAGCTCCAGCGTAGCAGGTTGCTGTTGGCTGCTTCTAGAAAGGCAACAAAGCCTCCAAAGACCAAATGACCATGGTATGAGATCCTGACTCCCCCTCAATTGCTTAAAGCGATGACACACGCACACGGCTGCACCTACATTTGCAAAGCACATATATAACATATATATATATATATATAATTATATATATATACACATGTGCCTCCATGCGTGAAACAACAATCACATCAATGCTAACATAAAAGAACCCAATAATACAAGTATGAATGTACATATGCAATGTAAATATGCATTATGCGTACTTTACGTTATTTGAGACTTGAATATCTCCCCCTTCGGGTGATGCCAAACATCATCGAGGAAAATCATCCAACGTGATTTGGCGGAAGATGCTTCAAGGGAACGCAGGAGAAAGCCTAGCTCAGCGGGAGATCCCGCATGGTCGCTATTCTTGTTCGGTGGGGGGTCAGGGGGAACACTTGATCTCTGCACAAGACAAGCCATCTGGACGAACACGTAAAAGTGGAGATCCCGATGTGGACTATGGTCACTATTTTTGCAGGGCGGTTGGGGGAGGAACAGGTAAAAGCATCCGTGGATCATGTGCCCCGAGCGGCCAGCACCCCCCTCGCTCGGCGCCTGGTCTTCAGCCACCGGGAGATGCAGTGGAAGTGGAAGGCGTGGTTGCAGACGCCCCAGGCCACCGTGCACTCCTCGCTGGTGTGGGAGCCCTGGTTCGCCTGGCATAGCTTCGAGCCAGCCAGCTTCGTGTCAAGTAATTGTTGCTTGCCTTTACTTGGACAGTGGACCACTACGCGAACCCTTCTCGTGGTACATTTCCATGGACCTTCCCCTTGACCCAAATAAATGCCCACTCGGAAGGTCCTTCCAAAGATAAAAACTGGATGGTAGATGGTCAGCTTTCGAAGCTTTGGCCCAAGGAAGCGCCTGGCACTCGATACACAGATCCATGATGTGGTTGCGGCAAATGGCACAATTGTCCACGACAATGTCCCAGGCCCACAAAGCCACCGCACTCCACTTCCTGGCGTTGGCCAAATCCTCTCTGGCCTACTTGTCTCCCTGTAAACAGAGAACAGCCCCAACATAAACCACGAAGTCGCAGCCTCCCACTGGCAACGACATTGGGAATCAACTGTAAGTATCTCGGTCGTGCCACGATATGCCCCTCTCAAGGCATGCCGAACAGTATCATGCATGAAAGCCTTCAAAACTCGACCCACCAAGAAGACATTCAAACTCATTTGAACAGAAGAACCATCCACTTTTGCGCCCCAGAATGCCTCTGGCACGCCGTGGGATGCGGAAACAGCTGTGATTACCAGCAGAGGTCTCAAAAGTGCAAACCGGATGCAAGACTGCACAGGAAGCCTTCTAGGAAGATCTGCCAATCAACGCCCAGCATGGGTTTGGCCCTGGTTGCCGGATTGAGCATGTCTCCCCTTTACCAGCTGAGTTCTTGAGGTCAGCTAAAGAAGGATGTGGGGTTGCATCAAGTTGCTGCAGTCGTCCGACCCACGCTGCCAAGGCTCTTGATCTCGAATCGCTTCTCCACCGGCCCTGGCTCATCCGATGAGGCGGCCATGGCACCTTGCAAGCAGGAAACTCCTCAAGCCCACACCATCTCCCATTTCCCCTCCTCTGTCCCCAGCCCCCGCACCAGCGCTGCCACGGCGCTGCTTGGGCTGCGGAGTTATTGAGCCCAGCTTTGAGCATGAACTTGCGTCACGTCATTTCAAGCCCGCCCTGAATGTGATGTGCGGAGAGCAAGACACAGCTAGTGCCAGAAGCACTGCAACCAGCCATCATGGCCCGTTGGATTGAATTCTCTCTTCCAGGTCATTCACATGACATATGCATCATTCATATGCGACCGACAGACTGACAAGGAGCCGGACAAACAGACTGACAAACAAACAGATTGACAAGCGAGCGACTTCTACCGATATGTACATACACTAGTTGTCGACCTGGTGTGGCTAATGCATTGGCATGCAGCACATGTGGGACGGCCCAACGGAGTGCCAAAATTTCCTTCAGGGCCCCGGGCCCAGCAATTGCCTCAGCACCCCCATGTCGAAGCACTCCCGACAGTCCGGCACGGGGCACCGCAGAGCCGTCACGTCTGCCTACAGAAACTCTGACGAAACGAGGGCAGGGAAAGCCCGTCAGTGGCAGCTTCAGAGGAAATCAGGTGAGTTTAACGCAGATACCTCTGGTCCCATTGTGCTACAGCAAAGGGCTGCACTAAGTGAGATTTGTCCGCATGAGACTGAGTGGCTAGGCTGCAATCCTCCTGGCAATTCGGCCTTTAAATGTGGCAAGCGAAGCGGTGCAAGCCACGCGAAAGTGGAGGAACACCACATGTGGCCCTCCACTTGCCAATGTCCAAACTCCTTGAGCATGGGATGGCCACAGGAGGGATTTGCTGGCCCGAGCAACTACGCAAGCGGTTGAACAAGTCGAAAACCGTACAACTTGTCCTTCAAAAAAAGTGAATTCTTGGGCACACACTAGTTTCTGATAGTGCTGTCTGTGTGTGTGTGTGTGTGCGTGTGTTCACTCATCACCTTTCCCAGGTTCTGCGGACTTACCTATCCGTTTGTTTCAAATGCTGCACGAGCAAAGCGGAACAAGGGAAAGCTGCAAACGCAGCTCATACCTTCAAACTGATTTCTTAGCTTCCCTCCATCAAAATGGCAACTTGGCCTCCGAGGTGTGCAGGGTTGCCATCTGCTGCAAGCAGTCCCGGCCTGAGAAAACCGGTGGATTGGCTGTGCTGGTAATAAGCTTCCCGCCCTCCCAACTCTGTGGTACCTCTTTCAATTGATCCTCCTGCGTGAAGGTGCCAACCAACATGAAACGCCGCTCAACCAGGTCGCCAAAGCATGTGTTGAAGGGCCCGATGCCTCATGAAAGCAGAGGTCGCCGCTGCCTTGCGAGGCTCCGGCATCCAAAGTGGCCGCAGGATAAAAAGACCCCGCGAGAGCCCTGGAGCTCATCAAAGCACACTGGGCAAACCTCAGCACGGAGCAGAAAAGCCGCGGGATGGGCAGAGACCTTCAACACCCCCTGCATGTTGGTTAGTTTTGTGCGCTATTGAAACTGCCGTGTGGGCACTCGCCTACACTTCCTGTACTGCAAAAAACTGGCATCCACGGACTGCAACGAAAGCACACCAAATACCATCCTTTGGCCCCTCTGCACGTAAATCATCTCTCCTTGGGCATGTTGTCTGGTGTCTGTGTCCAGGCCTGCGTTTCCTGCTGCCGCCGCTCGTTTCTGACATGCTGGTCATGTGAGAGCAGCCGCAGCGCTGCCTGCATCGGGTCCTGGATGCCAGCATTGCCACATTGGTGCTGTTTGATTCGCAATGTTGGGACCTGGAACCTGACTAGCACTCCCCCTCTTATTTATGCTCACCTGCTCCTGCCTGAATCCCCTCACCAAGACTAGTGTCTATTTCTGACAACTCCGATTAGTGCCATGCTGAACCCCCCCCCCGGCAAAAAAAGAAGAAGAAAGAAACGTACAATTCTACGGCTATTGCGAATACTTTTCCAGCGCTACTTCTTTCAAAGTTCCACGGATTGCCATGGCAAATCTCCAATACACCAGCTACCCACAAAGAGCAGATTTATCACTACAGCGTGTTTTAAACATCAGTGTTTGACAAGCTCACAAAGGGCACCCACCCCCATTTCAAAGCACCGCCCCTAACAGCCAAAGCAAAAAACAAATCATGGCCATCTTCAGCACTCGAAACATTCAGGCGCAATATCCTTTCGCTTTCCTGTTGCAGTCCTATTCAAGACAGGGAGCGGACCAAAGAGGATCAAAAAAGATGAGGGGGGGTTGAGCTGGGGTACTGCAAGCGCGACATCAATGTTCATAGCTTTGGATAGTTTTGCGATTGTGCGCCTTTGCATAGTTAACGTGACCTGGATCCCTGATGGGTTAGAAAGGGTGAAGTACCTGCATCTCAAATTGGCACATCCCGCATGATCCTGTTATGTATATGGTCTTGATGATCAGCATTATGTTAATACTTCCTGGTTCCTATGCAAACATAGCCAAACAAAATTGGATGAGCTGATTGCAGGCGATCCTGCACGGAGAAACCTGCTGATCAATCAGAGAATTCAGGATCTGTTGCCCTGAATAGTCTTGGCCTGATTTGCGGTAGTGATGAGTTTATTCATTTACGAGCAACGAACAGAGAACATCCACGTGACGGGTCTTATGTCCATATTCTCTATTCTCGACACCGGGAAAATTAGAACCAAGCTTGCATTTACTTATTATACGGATTACCTTGATGGGCCAGCCAGAGATGAACAACGTTGGAGTATGACCGAACAGTTTCTGCTGAAATGTGGTCGCCGAACAATTACTGCCGAAGAATGGAATGGTGACCCACCGAAGGCTCAATTCTCGAGCTGGTCCCCTTGTAAAACCTACGACATATCCCCACAAGGACACCTACAAGGAGATCATTATGAAGACTCAAACCAGGCTATGCCAACGCCACTGAGAGTTCCTCCTGTGAAAAGGACCCCTCTGCAAGACTGGAATACCATGTTTCTGCTACCGGCCGGTGAGGAAGTGGCCTTGCCCAAGGTGTCAGCTGGGTGAGTTACTCAGAATAGGGGAAACCCAAAAAGGGGGGTTCCCCTTTGAATCCCCTTCAAAAACAACAGTACCTTCAAAAACGACACGCAGCCCTTGCCCCTCCCCCGTTTCCCCCAAACTCCTCAGAGAACATCTCCTGTCTCAGGACAAGCCGGCTTGGCACTGCCAGCTCCTCCTGCAAAGTCAAGCGCCAACAACTCAACTTGACTATGGGAATACCCCTTGGCAAGCCATGAAATCCTCCTACAACCCAGCTAGACAACCGGATTCTATGGCTCCCGACCTGGTAGGGGAATCCCAGTGGCAACGGCGCCTGGAAGCCTCTATGGCGCTGATCAAAGAGATGGCTCACTGGGGCTCTGGAAGCCTCCAAGTTGGTTAGCAGAGTAATCTGACAGAATCTTCAACAGCTGAGTGAGTGGCCAGCCTCAAATGAACTTCAGCGCATGCAACTGCAACTCCTGATTTTTTCCGAACCGTCTCAAGCACAGAGCCATCCTCCTCCATTCCCCGCCCCATCCCTATTCTCCGCCTTGAGCTGCTCCACCAAATCGAACACGCCACTCTCAACAGAGAGGTGAGACCTTGGGAAAGGGACAGGAGGTTCATGTTGCCATCCATTCCTTCCGCCCCCCCCCCCAAAGTAGATTCTATAGCTAGTGGGACTGAAACCCAAATCACTCCTCCATGACAGCTGACTTCTTTTTGTTTGTGGGTTGTGGCTTTCTAGGTAGGCTGTTACGGGCTGCGAGCTCTGCAAGAGGAAGCATTGGTGCAGCCAGAGCCATGGGTCCCCCCTCCAGAAACACACGGCATGTAGGCCGGGCATCAGGTTGGCAAATAATTACTGAATTACACAATGATATAGAGTGTGCGTTTGTGCGTGTGTGAGTGAGCGCGCGCTTCGTACATATGCCGCACGTACGCTTCGCACGATCAGAAAATTGCAAAGCAAATGCATGCTGCGGGCAAGCTTATACATTGCAATTCCCGTCGTTGCTCCAAGGCACCAACTGCAAATTGGTCATGCCCAGGTCCATTCCACAGTTGTACCTCCTCTGTTCATGGGCACCAGTTGAAGAAAACACTGCCTGCAAACCTCCCTATCCAAGCTGCCAGCAGCTGAAAGAGAAGTCTGCTTGCTAGTGCCCATGCTTAGGATTGCTTAGGCCCCCATGTTTGGCCTTGTGGTCCTGTGGGGTGGGGGTCTTGGAATTCCTGTGATCTGCCCGATCAATAGACCTTGCGCCCCCTTGTTCTCCCCTTTGTCTGTTTTGTCTGCACATCTTCTGCATGAGAACAGGCCCTCTTCATGTTTGTCCTTCTTCCTTGCACAACTTGAGGCACCGATGGAGCGCCGGAGCTCAAAACCGAACCTCAAACATTTCACTTCTCAAATGCCCCAAGGCTGGAACCTCGACTATGAACAACACCAGAGGGAAACAAAAGGCCAAAAGGCCGGCCTTGGACAAACAAGACTTTGAAACCGATCCCCCCCACCCCACCCAATTTGCTCTGGTCTTCCGGAAGGCTCCAGTTCCGTGGCCGCAGCGCCCAGGTGCGGCACCTGAGCAACGTGCGGGGGATGAGTTGTGACTGGGTGCTTGCCCAAAGGCTGCAGGCTAAGAACATGTTCCAACCTGCATCCGAAAAATCAGCTGCTGCAAATGAAGCAAACTGACCGCGTTATACCACGAATTATGACAACACATGTTCCACATGGCAAGAGGCGCCCAGGCATCGGACAGCCATGTCCTACCCCTGCCACCTCGGGTTGGCCTAAGAGAAGCCCAAATGAGACTTCCCCGAGCTTATGTCCTTGTGGGGGATGTCACCAGCGCTGAAAATCTCATGAGGGCAATCCCATAGCATGCTGTATAGAGTGGAGGTGAAGGACCTCAATTGGGAAGACAGCATCTAACTGGCAAACCAATTGTCCAGAGTTGGCCGGTAGATTGGCAACACCTGTGCCTATCCCACCTGTGGCGTCAGCTTGTTGATGGCTCAAACCCCTCCTGAGCAGTGCTTACCTACGAAAAACACATCAATTTGTGGCGGGGCCCCGTAAATGATGGCTCTTGTTAGCAGGTCTCATCTTCTGACTATGTTGTTCCAGAGCTTCTTTCAAGCTCAGCGTGACTGCCAGATCGTTCATAGTTAGACTACGTCGGATGTGGAAGGCGCAGCCCCACGATCTACATGTTTGTGTCGTGAGCAAAAAGCGTACTGGCCTTCCAACACTGTCACAATCTTGCTCAGCCTCGGCGGTAAAACTGTAAGCCACGCCCAGCCTCCACAACCAGAACTGGCGCGCTAGGCCCCTCCAGTGGGTAGTGAGGTGGTAGAGCCTCTGCGCCGCCGCAACGGGACGGCGCCGGGTGACCATTGCAACATTCAACATCAGCGTGGCAGCTCGCCGTCCGGTGTCCAAACCTTCAACCTTCCTGACAACTTGGTCTCATGAACAAGTTGTTTCCTGTTGTAATTTGCCCCCTCGTGACACATGCTCTTTGAGAATCTTTCGCGACGGTCGCCACGCCCTTTTGTTTGCAGCGCGCGGTGCGGAGCCATGTGGCACAGCCCCGCTCGCAAACACAGTGCTCGCAGCTCACTTGCACTCGCAGGCTTGCAGTAGCGTGAAGTGAAAGCAGTCACCATCATTCGCCCCTGCCTCTTGCGCTTGCCAAGGTCCATGGGCTTTCGCCAGTCTTTATCTGTAAGGGAGTGGGGCCAGCAAATCTGCAAGTGCGCAGGCATGCCTCCAAGAACCCAACGCGATATCCTTCGCGAAACAACATCGGCTTCACGAACTCCATCGCCGATCTTTTGCGGAGGGGTTTAGTCACCGAACACAAAACTCCTTCCTCACCTGTCGACTGTCTCCCATCACCTTCCCACCACTTCCTTGCATGAATGCAAAACCGAATGCTCTCAGCGGAGAACCACCCGCATCGCAGCGCTTTAGCCACCCAGGGTTCTGGCCACTCGCAGGAGCGCCGGAGGAAGCGCCTGGACTGCTCCTGCCGGAACCTGCCATGGACAGGCGGGGGGCTGCGCCCTGCACAGAGGCGAAAGAAGAGAACGAAGAAACAAGAAGAAGAAGAAGAAGAAAGAAGAAAATTCCAACCGGCAAGGTTCTTGGCATTGTGAGTCTGGGCCAGAAACTGGCCATTGATGCCTGCTGCAATTTGTGTGCAGGGCTCTCCCATGCCCCAGCCAACCACGACGCTGCCCCCGAACCATACTCGAAGTGGCCTGAGATTCACTACGAATGGAAGGCCCCACGTTTGACTTTTGCCGAGACACTGGCCAAGTGCGAGGGTGTCCGCGTGTGCGCGCATGTTAGTTGTGAGATTCGGCCATAACTGCTTATCCTAGCTTTTCGTGGGATTTGCAACTTTCTTTGAGAGTTGAGTCATCTAAGTTACCAACATGTCAGCTCACATCGTGAGCTGTACTAATGCAGGCAGACCCGGACAACTGGCCCATGGTGGTGTTTAAGCAGTTTACGATGCTGCAGGCATGTCAATGCTTGGTACACATCAGGGCGTGCCGGATCAAGCGTAGCCTCTTTGACGGCACGAACGTACTGCTCCGCACGACAGGTGCTGTTGAAAGTGTGAAAAGGCAAGACCTGATGGCATCCCTCCAGGAAAGTAGTACGGTCAAGTTCTGCATCAAGTCTCCCAGAGAGTATTTTGCTCGGACGATGGCCAAGTGCCGCTCAGTTGCTGCCACTCTGCGCCCCCTGCTTGAATCCACAAAAAAACTCTGACATGTACCCCATGTTTTACTTTGGATGTCAGCAGAACCAGGCGTGGCATGCTGGGAAAAATGCAACTTAGGGTCAATTAATCAAGTAAATAGCAACCACTAGCTCGCATAGGTGCCCATTCTCACATTCAAGCAGGGTATTCATGCACCGCCAGGCGTCGTGCACTCCCAAATGTGCCGAAGCACATTGCCGGGGCGCCACGAAACAAGAAGTTGTAGCCCGCAGGCCAACAACATGCCAAGGTGGGCGGACAAGCATCCGCTTGAGGCAGTGCCCCAAAAGCGCACCATGACAGGATACACTCTGGACACTATTTGCACAGATCAAAATTACTATTTACTTACCCAAGCAAATGTGCACACCATTAATATGCATAGGCCTAGATATTGATAAAGGTAGAAGCCCGGCCATCAATCAAGCCCCCCGAGTTTTCATGGATGTGCACATTGACACGCTGTGCATCCATCCCTGCACCGCGCAAAGAGTTGGCGGGCCCTCAGCTCCCTCTCACAGGCTCAAATCCTTCTTCAAATTCCGCGGGAAGCGGGTACACTCGTGGCCTCTTCGGCCGGTCCGTTTCATCGCCATCTGTCAGCGGCACGCAAACCGGCAACTCCTCCGCAATCTGCGCCGAGGTGCGTTGCATCACGCTTCCTGCATGGCGATATCGCAGCAACACATCTCTGGGGTAGTGACCTGGCGGTGGAGTGCACTTGTTGCGCCCTTGAGCCGTCCTCGTTTTTTGCAGCGAGGTGACGTGTCCCAGCGCCGGCTCCACCGACTCCGGTCTCTTGGCCGGGCCGCGCCGCGCCGCTTTGCGTGCCTTGCTTGCCACACCTCCAGTGCCCGACAAATCACTGAGGTCAGCAGCAAGACCGAGCAGCACGCCACCGCAGCCACATGCATGCTCCATGCCTTCACCGGCGCCAAGCGCGGCACCACTGGCGCTGCCGGGGTGCGAAGCATGGCGGCCAGTTTTAGCTGGGGCCAAGTGAGCAAAGAAGGGGGGAATTGAGTCGATGACGTGTGTCTTACTGTATTACCATGGTAAGGGGGGCTTGAGCCAACGAGCGTTCCGAGTTGTGCTGCCCTGCTGGCGTTTTGCAATGGTCGCGGGCCTGACTGTCCGTCCCCAACGCCTACAATGGTGAACAAAAAGCCCCACTAGCATACATCATTGCAAACTATCGCAACAACCTCAATGAGCTGAGCAACAGGAACAACCAATAAG